TTCTTGTTTCAAACTTTTATAAAATAACCTACTAGATAATTGGAGTAATCGATCCAAAGTTATAAAATTCAATAAAGGGTCTAATTTTTTCTCTGGGTTTTTGTTTGCTGATAAGGTATTTCTATTTTGGTTTTAGATGGTAAATCATTTTCAAAAATGGTAATAGTAAATGATTTTATTGATGGTTTTTTTCTTCATCTTTGTAATTATTAATAAGTACTAATCAGCTATTTTTTTGGTAGGCAAAACATATTCCTCATAAAGCTTCTAACGGTTTTACTATATAGTGCTCTGACATACCAATCAACCAATTAAATTTCATGTTTTCATTGTTCTGAATGGAATTTCGACATAATATTAATATTAATATCAATATCATTTATTGTTTTCAGTTCGGTTTTCCCGTTTTTCTTTCAATTCATTGTTCAAATGCTTTTTGATTACTGCTACCACTCAATGATTTGCACTTTTGAACTTTGCAAACTAGCCTAAAATCATCATCAATATTAAAATATATTCTAAAATAAGCAAATTTCTTAATATCCTCAAATTGTAAGACATGCATCCTTCAACAATAATCATTTGTAGCATTACCATTATTTGGAAAGAGCCATCTTTGCTTCCTTGAGTTAATAAACATTATTTCCACTTGGATTGATTTCATGGTCGATACTTTTGGGATTAACAAATTCCGTGTAAGAATATGCTTTTAAAGTATTACTATGAAAATAAAAAGTGGTTATTTACTTTTGGTTTTTCTTTGAATTGTCCTTCTATTTTTTTTTGTTATACTTGTTTTCCATGCGCCCAGTGTTTGCATTTGGCCAACAACTATATGAAAATTATCACTATTATACATAACGGATCAGAATATTCAAAAGGAACACCGAAATAAAACTCTTGGAAATTGTGAACTTGCCTAGCACAGATGCTGATTTAGAAAAACTCTTACGAACAATCAGAGATTTGGCATTCCCTTGAAAGTAATGTTATTGTCACTTCCTTGTTAGAAGCCCTTAGAAGTCAGCAACAACAAATCCAAGATCAACAACTGCAACAGGTAGAGATTGAAATCCAACAAAATAATGGATGAATTTTTCACATGAAAATTATATGCATATTATTTATGAATATCATTATTATTAAATTTCTTTGATTCTTTAATTCTTCAATGATTATCAGTGTTGTACATGGGACATGTCCGCCTAATATTGAGCGGACATGGACATGTCCTGAACAATGTCCAATGGACACCGTCCAAAAATGTCCGCGTAACAATTTGTCACGTGGACGTGTCCGCTCATTTTCTTAATTGTCCCGGACTGTCCGGGACCAGTAGTACAAACCACAAGTTAAACGTGAGAAAATGCCTTTACCACCTTTATTAACTCAAAATATTATTAAAAATAATATAAAACTAAACCAAATCAATTCAAAAACGGTTTGTAAACATGCGTTGAAAAATTAAGAGGAGGAAGGGAAGAAAAAATGGTTTCCAAATTAAAAGGATCGAATAATTCGGCATTTAATTAATTAAATGATTCTATATTAATAATCCAGAGCCTTGCTTTAGAGTAGAGGCAGAAAGTTAATATAAAATTATTTTTTTACAAATAATTCATTTGTAATAAACATTTTCATAATTTAAACAAATTAATTCTTTTTTTGTTTAATAAAACCACTTTTATGGTCGGAAATTAAACAGTGGGTTTAACCTCCAATTGGTTATCAGAGTGGTTAAAGCAAAGATTTTTTTTTAGATATTTGTTTTAGTAAGAAAGCAAAGGTTTAATTTTTTGGTTTTTGTTAAGTGTAAATGTTTTTGTTTGATTTTTTGTTAATTGACCACCTACTGTATACAAGTCATTATCACATGTTATTGTAAAGTAATTGTTGCAAACATACAGCTGACTTCAATTGGCCAAAGAAAGTAAAAGCAAAACAAATAAAAGGAACTCTACAGAAGCTTTATTGCTTTGTTAATTGTACCATAAAGTGTTTACAGATTCACCAAAGCTTTAAAAAAGAGGTAGTAGACAAAAATTTATATTTTTGTCCAAGAATGGTCCGGGACATTTAAAGTGACGGACACGGACACGGACAGTCCCAGACTGGACAGTCCATGTCCATGTCCGTGTCCGCTGACAACACTGATGATTATATAATTGTCATCTTATTATGTGTTTGCACAATCACAGTGACTTCCGATTAGTAATGAAAAATTAGTCCACTTGGCTAAAATTGACATTTAAAGAAAAGAGTTAAAATCAAGATCATTTAATGAACTATTGTTGCTCGTATGCATTTGGATGTGACTTGTGTACTTGCCCGTGGTTCACCACTACTACCACTACTGCTATAATCAGTTTTACGATTTTTAATTTTAAAATTAAACTATTATTGTTACCATTATTTGTTAAACCTTTATTTTTATAAATTTCGATAAGATTCATGCAAATAACCTTGTTGGTAAACCTAATGACAATTCAATCTGGTATTGTTTTTCTAACCAAAAGAGAATGCATTATATATTATTTGGGACAATAATTGATATACTTCGTTCACAATAATGAAAAGATTTAAAATATAAAAAATTAATTTTTCCCCAAAGTATTTGACAATTTGGCTATTGAAAGAGGTGGTTTTAACCAGAAGTCTTTGTTAACACTAAAATAAATAAAGCTTTGATTTCTTTTATGGCATATCTAGAGGTTGGAATCAACTAAAGTAGTTGACTAATTTAATTGATTACATCTGGAAAATATAAAAAAAATTTGCACATGTCAATTGTAAGTTTAATAATAAAAAAGTGTAAAACTTATGTCGGCACTGTAAGATTATGTGATACATCGGTGTTATAAGATTTATACAAGTTTATGCTAAATTAATTTCCTGATTTAATTAGTTGACTAAACTTTTTTTGAACAACTAATAGTCAACTAATTAGTCAACTACTAATATTACTAATACTAACACTAATACTATGCTAATATTATTATTGTCTGACCAATTGCAGAAGAGTATCAATATGCAAATATTAAAACTTTACATATTAAAATTTATGGATGTAATATTATGGCAAGGAAAATTTCTTGATGTACAAGGTCCAATAGTTCATTGACTTCAAGTTCCAATGATTTGTGTGGTGGTTCCAGAAGACCTTTAAAAAAATGAATCGTAACACATGGTTTTGTGTGGAAGCATTTTGAAAAAGTGAAAGATTCAAATGGAAATGAATTTGTAATTTGCAAATTAAAAAAAAAAACAAAATATTATTATTATTTTAAAAAAATTTTAGTTGACTAATTAGTCAACTAAAATAGGGAACGAAAATGATCAACGAAAATAATCAACTTAGTCGTCAACTAATTGGTTGACTAAAGAAATTTTGACTAACTAGTAGTTGAATAAGGATTTTTTGGATGATTCCAACCTCTAGGCATAACTGCTTTCCTAGTTTTCAATAAATTGAACTTGGCAAAAGACCCATCAGCAACCTCCTGAGTTTTGATGACACCAGGGTTAGATGCTTCAAAAAGAAAATGTTGCCATTTTTGCAGACTAAGGATGGTTGACATAATTGCTAAATTTAGGGGTCTGGGACACTTTACCAACACCCACTTTACTGGGACACTTTACTGACAGGACACTTTACTG